ATTGCAATGTTTAGGGTTCATATAAACGGAACGTTCAGAATCTGAAATTAGATTGTATTCATTCCAATTAGTGCATGTAAACACACCTAGTGTGTAGTGTAGGCTAAATAGTACAATTAAAAAGCTTTCGTTCATCTGAACTCTAGCCTTTTGGATAGTGCATGTGCTCTGACACATAGTGTGATGTCGCTCATTTGGAGCAATACAAATTCATGTCATCTCATCTGTCATTTCTCCTAACATTCCTGTGTCTTCTAACTCTCAATAAAATGAGAGGGGAAATCCTTTGGATTCCTGATGATGCTTTCAAAGGCCAAAAGAACATGTAGGGCTGCTAAAATGAGTAGTCTCTCCAGATCACCAGAAACATCATTAGCTATAATGGGCTCTTTACACAACCCAGCCTGAGCGTTCTGTTTGTTTCCTTAACACCCTCGCTTTAAAAAACACGGTCAGCCTGCCCATGTGCATTATTCAGAGTGCTGTTCATTCACCTCCCATTCATTCCGCCTCACAATGGCTCCTATCACTACCCTAGACATTGCTAATTCATGGTGGTGACATTCATGTCTCCCAGAGTCATTCGGGGATCACCATGTCTTTCTTGGCCATTAAAACAGTGTGTCAATAAAGAGTGGGCTCTGTGGCGGAGCGAGAGGAAGCCCCTTCATCTGCCTGCAGAGCTCTCTTTTGTCTTGGAAAGTCAGGTGTTCACTGGCCCATGTGTAAGTAGGTTAATCCCTTCTCTCTATCTCACTCTTTCTGCTCCTGGAACCACTACTCGGGAGAATAACCTCTCCTTGTTACATGAACTATTCTTAGAACATCACAAATCTCAGATCCACAGAGGATGAGAGATGCTGGCATGACTTGTGGGATTTCTGCTCTTTGGGAAGCACATCTGGCTGTTCCCGAGTCTTTCGTTTACGTCTCCAAAACATCAAAGTGTGCATATAATCTAAGCCAATGCATTTTCACATCTGTGGATGGAACTCAAAGAGGCAGCTTGATGCATAAATTATTTAATAGCTCACATGATGAAATAAACAAGCTGATGCTTTGGTGTATTATCCCAAATGACACCATTATAGGCTGCTGTAGATCATGTGATTTAAATGCATTAATTAAACACAAAAACATACATAATACACATATTAAAACTATTTTCAAGTAAAGGTTACGCAGATTCCTAAATCCCATTCAACTCTATTTTACCACTCTGCTGGTCCATGCTCATCTATGAACATAATAACATACAGACATCTAGGTCATGGGGACCATTAGCCCATCTGTCTTCGCTTATGTTCTGTGATTTGTTGCTTTTTACTAATTAACTGAGGTTGATCTAATCACAGTTGCACTTGTATGAGGTGGTTTACAATCTCTGGATATGCCCCATATATTTGTCAGATATATAAAGGAATTTATTGTTGATGTAAAAAAAAAAAAAAACACACACACATAATTAATGCATATTTGTACGGTAATTATGCCTAAACATGCTCACTCCAAACCTGTAATGAAGACTTGTACAAAACATTATTTTATTTCTTGTTTTGTTCAAATTAATTTGTGTGCTTGGTAAAGCACTATATTATAAACATTATTATTTTAATAATTAATATTATTCATAATAACTGTCAACTGCATGATACAGCTGGTCATGTGATGTCAACATGGCAGCGACCATTAAGGAGCAACCCGCTCCATGTACGATACAACAGCTTTATTATATTTCTGATCTCATATTTCACAAAGGTGCTGATTTTAATAGCGGGAAAAAATACGAAATGCACCTTTAAAACTGAAGGCTAAATTCCCATGAAGTTATATTAGTCATAAGAAGTCATAACATTCACTGCACATCCACGACCTCGATGACGTCACCGAGTTCTTCAAGAGAATAGCGCCAACACTCCAAATTATGACGTTTTCTCTTGGGACGAAACAGTCAGTTGGCGGACCTCATAATCAATAAAACAATATAAGTCCAACTGACCTTCTCGCGGGAATGTAATTCTAGATAAACATAATACATTTTAGAAGCGCATAACAATAGAGCTCGTTATTAAAATAAACCAGCATTCATTATTTAAATTAAATGCGCATAAAAAAAATCAAAATAAAATAGCCTTAAAACAGTTCAGCGCGAGAGAAAAAACAAAAACAGAAACGGTCACATCATAATATTCCTGAATAATGCAAACTATGTTAAAGGTATAACTGCAAACAATGGATAATTTCATACACTGTTCATTAGTGTTCTGTGAACTGTAAATCCATATCTACCGAGCTACAAGCAACCCAACGGGGACAACCCGGAGCTTCAAATGACAGAGAGAGAGTCAGTGAGAATTTAGAGGTTGTAGGACAGAAATGAACGTTCAGTATGTTCAAAGTGGATCCTCCATTGGACTGGGACCGTTATTTGTGTCTTGCACAATAGTGCGAGTTGAGCCTCCCTCATATAAGTGACAGAGCGGCCTTACCTCTTCCAGAACATTGACCGTGTTCCGACAGCTCTGCAAGCGGGTGGTGAAGCTTGATGTCGTGGGGGAATTGTAATCCTCCGTTGTCTCCGAGAGAAACTCGGACACGGAGATCTGATCCGGCATCCTTGCAAACACAGTCGCCCAATAAAAATGGAGGGGAGAAAAATCACAATAGCACCATGAATTAGACAGTGGTGGTCAAGAACGGAGCGATGTCTCTGTTTGGGTAAGGTTGAATGGTAAGGCAATGCGTAAAATGATAAGAAACGTAGCCAAATGTGTGACAGTGCTATGCGGTTCCCGTTCCTAGAGAGGGTCGTTGTGTGTAATTTCCACGTCTTTCCTCTTCCCTTGTCTTAATTATCCACTTGCATCTACATAAAACGGTTCAGACTCATCTCCTTGTTCTCCCAATGTAAGATGCGAGATGTTGGTTTAGAATGCGCTCATTCCACAATCTAGCTTTAAAATAGTCTGATATTTTGAGTATTTCCTTCAATTATTGTTGTTCCGGTTTCGGAAGCGGTTTCATTCTGTTTTCCCTTTCTCTTTCCTCCGTTTTCCCCCCAGTCCTGACGGTCTGAGCTCTCTGACAGCGCGTGCACGCACGCTCATCTCCTCCCACCGTTGATGACGGGATAAACAAGAGGAGAAACTACGCATGCGTCAGAACGCAATGGATAGAAAACAAAAACAATAAATAAATAAAATTAATAACTAAATGTGTATAGGGCAAATAATAATAATTACAGAATTAAATAAAAGCAAGAACAATTAAATATAATAAATTATTGGTAAAATGCATGCATTAGTAAAATAATAAAATAAATAAAATAAAAAATTCAGGACTAGCAAAAATTTTAACAATGGTTCCAATGTGTCATGTATTTATGCATTTATTTACATTTATATTTATTCATCCATACTTTATAAATGTAATGCAGTCTATAAAGCATACTGTTTGCCCTGAACAGAGCCAGAATTTATGGTTTCATGCACTGAAGCAAGAAATGTTTAAGTAGCAATAATATAAGGGCAGGCAGGTATGTGTATTATGCTGCTATAACACAGCATAAGCACGTAGCTAATGCCATACAAAATGGTTCAATTATTGTCTCAAATTCACCAATTTTACTTTGTGGGAACTTCAGTTTCTCAATGTAGTATTATTTCACATTACTTGGACTCACAACTCTCACAACTGCAACAAGAGGGGGCATCCATAAAGGCCATTGCCTGGGGCCTCACAGGACCACAGTCTGTTAATGGGGCTTGAAACAATTTAAGAGGTCAGGCAGTTCTTTGATTAAACTTAAACATTGATTGTAAATTGAGGAGTGTTAGCATAGACTGATGTGCAAATCTGGAGGCAGAAAAAACTCACCGGAAGCACATATGATGTGCAGATGGAATATTTAGTGGTATAACGCATAAAAAAGCAGTGGATTTTTCAACTCACCGACTCCATAAAGAATCCCTGGAGGAAAAACTTGATAAACGCGAGGATGAGGACCTCATGGCTCTGTAGTCACCTCAATAAAACAACCTTGAGCTAAGACAATGAAAAAATGCTATTATCAAAGAATGGAGCTAGAAAATCAAGTCAATATATTGGATCCCTATTGGAAAATACAGCTTAAGCTAGTAGCTGGTTTCTAGCTTTTCCAAACTGGTAGACCAGTTTAGGACCACGAACAAAAAAACAGCATCTTAAACAGGTTAATCTGTTTTTGAAACATGTTAGTTGGTCAGTCAGCTAATGGTAATCTTAAACCAGCTAGGATACCATGTTCCAAAACACATCTTCCAGATTAAGTAGGATTTTCCAGAGAAATAAACATGTCAATAATTAAGTGTGATTCTCATCTTTCCAAGGAAAAATAATCCAAAGAAAAAGTTCGCCTTTTCCTAAAGTTTCTATTTGCTGCTGACATCACATTTTCTAAAACAAATTTTGCCACTCAGGGAAAATAACCACGCCTTATAACTTACCGAGACAGCTGCGGTTTCACTCCGTATTAATGGCTTCAAAAGTAATTGCAAAGTAAATTGTGCGCAGAGCTCCGTGTTTCCAAGTGGCACCATATTCACTGCATTGTGCTCAATCCAGCGCGCGGACATTACGGGCTGAAATCACATGCCGCCACAGTTACAATGAGCTGGAATGCGCGCATTGATCTGCCCCATCTGGAGCTGCTGGACAGGAAGCGAAAATCAAGCATGTGGGCCGGAGGGGGCCGGAGGGGGGAATCCTGCACAGGACCACAACTAATGGCAGGAACTGGGAACGCTTAACTTTTAAAGGGAAATCTGATACCGCTGGCGAAATGAACGCGTTATACAGTATTAAATTCAGCCTCACTGACAGAAATGACAGTCTAGTTCTTTGAGAAAACATCATGCTGATCAACATTGTCACTCCAATCCAAATACTAAAAGCCCCTTTGGAAAACAATATATGAATATCACCTTTCTCATGGATTACAAAATACACAATTGAGTACAAGAGGGGAAAAAGTGCATTTATTACTGAGGATCTGCAACAGAATGATCCAAACAAGACTTGAGCAGCTCATATAGCCCTCAGAGCCCCAGCAACTAGGTGAGGCAAACAAATATAAACAGGAGAACAGGAGAATTCATCTCCTCCATTTCAAAGTTTTTATCCCTAACATCCACCTCTGAGCAACCCTGATACTTTCGAAACTTATAAAAGCTCAACCGGCTTAAATAAGCAAATTATTTTGAAGTTAAAATAAAAGGAACAAAACAAAGCAACACAGATTTTAATAACACACCTATATAAAGGCAATAAAAATAAAAAAACCACACATGTAACACAGCTCCTTTAAAAGAGGAAAAATTTTTTTTAAAAACTTGTCCGATTGACTTCAAGTCGCATAACACATGGACACAATGATGGGGAGAGCTGTTGGCCCCCATCATGTTTTTTTGCCCTGTAAAGATAGGGAGCCAGATTACTGCATGCAGTGAGCTCACAGCTACTGGACCACCTCCCCATTTTCTGGCAGGGGTGTTGCTAGGGGGTGTGTCCGGCACAGCCCCCTCTAAGAGGGGCTAGGACAGGTTAGTCTGAATCAGAGTCAATACTATCTTCTGATGATGAGCTGCTGGAACCGTCTGATTGGTCATCATCGTCGTCGTCATCATTGTCATCTTCATTCTAAGTCAATATTAGAAAAGAATGAATACCTGCACTAATAACAATGATTATTTTAGAATTTAACCAAAGCAAAATTAACCTCATCATCTTCATCATCATCCTCACTATCAGTGCTGCTAGATGACTCATCATCTTCATCATCCGAGTCTGAAGTGCCTGTTTTTTCATCATCCGAGTCCGAGTCCGATGTGTCCTGCTGGAAACCAAGAGTCACACATATCTCAAACTCTCTTAATACGCGCGAATCACTGTATTTGCATGTGTACACACACACACACCATCAGCACAAATCAATTAGTGAAATTCAAAATGATGTAACACCCTAAGCCACTTCATATACTGTAGAGTCCACAGCCTGTGTGGGTGAGTTGCCCAGAGAGAGCAGGGCGTTACCTTGGCCCGGTACGCCATGGAACGCTTGCCCCCCCCGGGACCCACTGTCACGGCTCTGGCACCTACCGCCTTCCCCTTGGTGACTTGGACTTTCGCCCCAGGACCTCGTGCTTTTGTAGTGCTTCGCCGTTTCTGTGAGGGCAGAGAGAGGGCGGGGTGGGGGTGCAAGGACAGAGCAGCACAGGGAAAAAAACAAACACATTCAAGCTTAAGCAATGATTAGTAGCCCCACAGTACAGCCCTAAGAACATTATCCATTCAAGTCAAGTTAGTTTGAGCCAAGAGATGTGATTCTAAATGGGGAGAAAGGAAATAATAAAACCATATGTGATGGCATGGATAGAAACAGCCTTTACAAGCAAAGTCAATCAACTAAATTAACCAGGGTGCCTCATCTTGCCATGCAGTGCGGGGGGTATTGATATAGAGAAGAGTAAATCACAATCTCAGCTATATGAATGACTGTGTGAGAAGTAACGCTAATATACAGAGCTTTAAGCGCAAGTTACAGCCTCAAAAATGAGCAATTACTTACCGTAGTTGAGAACTCTTTATATACTGCACGCTCCTGAGGGGATAGTGACTAGGGAAACAAGAAAAAAGAGAGGGAAATAAATGACTACAAATCTCCAAACTCATATTGCTCGCACAAATATTTTTTAATAAGGTCATTGTGACACAAAAAGTGTCCATGATAGAGAAAAAGGAAAATCTTTTTAAAACATGCCAATTTCATAAAAGTGGACTCTCTGTATTCATGTTGGTTTCATATGGTATTGCAAAACTTTTTTTTTTTTTTTGGAAAAGTTTTAATTTATTCTAAAAATTTAATGTGGTGTACCTTGAATACATCTTAATCATTATGGGGAAAAATAATATATATATAGTTTAAGGTAAAAAGAAGTAATAAAAAGTATTAAAATGTACTACATGACATTTTATATAACCTGAGCAACTTGTTTTTTTCCCCAAAAATTTAGTGAAGCTTTTGTTAAAAAAATAAAAATAAATAATGAACGCTTAATAAAAATAATATATTAAAAAATGCCAAAATGATTGGTTTTCTTTTGAATAATTTCATTTTCATTGTTTAATGAGGCATTTTTTCTTCATTACGATATCAGGGCAGTTTCATTGTGACATTTTCTATTTAGAATATACTTCTATTTAGAAACGAAAAACATGCTCATGATAGAAGAGTTGTATTTAAGTGATTGTATATATAAATTGTATTTTTTATGTATTTTTGAATAACTTAATAAACAGGACAATAAAAAAGAACCATAAATTCTGGAACTGGAAGATTCAACAAACTTCCTACCTTTACCCAAGCGTCAAGCTCAGCTTTGTACTCTAGTTGTTGCTCCTCAACCTGTTTTTTATATTTGTCCTTCTGGCTCTGACTAAGCTTGTGCCATCGCTTGCCGATCTCCACCATGCGCTCCTTCAGGCTGAAGTGATTCAGCTCACCGTTAGTTAGCAGTTCCTGAGAGAACATTTGATACCCGCTCCTGAGGTTGGACAGAAGACGACAAAGTAGTACTGAAACAGTGAAATAGATAAAATAGCCTAGTATTTTTGTAACACGGAAGGCATGTCTCTCAGAAAGCGACAAGCTAAAAATGTTACACTCACACTGGGGGCTTCTTAGGCTCGCCATCAAATTTTGGTTTTCTTTGTCCCTGTCCTGACAGAACTGTCCTCATCTCTAACAGCTCTCTCTGCAGGATGAAAAACAAGAAACATGAGCAAAGAGACTTTTTCTATTCACTCTGAATGCAAAGACAAGACACAAGACAAGCTGAAAAACCCATGAAAACAGATGAGCAGGCTGATAAACCAAAAATGACATATGCTTATAATGCAAACACATATATAAACAAGAGTTAAAGCACATCAAGATGTCAGATTCATGAGAATATGCAAGAATAAGTGACAGAAGACATTTAAACATCACCGCAAACATTCAACGTAAGTACAAGTTTCACCAAATTCCACTAGAAACAGCACAATCTTAGCATATACACATTGAGACACAACTGCATGCAATGCAGACTCCTCCGCCTCTACTCTGGGGAGGAGGAAAGTTAGGGGTGACCAACATTTTGACATTTCTTCAGCACAGGTGAGAAGACAGTGGTCAAAACGTCTGGTCACTGACCACTGTCTGGTACTGAACCTCGTATCGCTTCTGGTCCTCTGCAGCCTTCTTGATCCAAGGAATCTTCTCCTTTTTTTCCATGGCCTTCCAAGCAGCATCCATTGCATTCTGCGCTTTCTTCCGGTCATTCTATGAAGAGCAACAGTTTAAGGTTATTGTTTCTAGATAATGTTGTTGTTCTGCATGATGTTAAAAACAAATCTTTCTTTAGCGTTGTGTGATTCTGCAGGGGTCTCTTTGTATTTTATGAAAAATCATGAATGTTGCTCTTACTCTGTATTTAGCCAGATAGTCTCCTATCACACTCTGCTGCCACATCTCCTCTGGAGTCTTCGGCGTTTCAGGAAGCCGTGTTTTCTTCTTAGCGTCTCGCTTCTCTTTTGAAAGTCCATGTACCCACTGATCCAGCTCAGGGTCACGACACCGTTCCTACGGCACAACAAGAAGAAACTACTTCTCATTCTGATTCAGACAACATACCACCAGAGCATAACGGCATGCAAGTACATAAACAAGGACATCTCGCACATGCCCACCTTCACAGATGGGGATTTGGCCCTTAGGGGGCTGCCTGCGCCCGCTATGTTCAGCCTGGAGCCTCCCAGCTTCTCCTCTGTCAACACACGCTCCCTCTCCTCTTCTGGGAGACTCTGCAGAGACGGAGATTGAGACAAAGTGTCAGCCTCCCTTTGAATGCAGGATCAGGAATTCAACAGCATCTGTTGTAATAGAATGAATTTGTAGTGCTTTGTACTTACCTCAATAAACCTCTGAAGGTCAATCTCATACTGTTTCTTTTTCTGATGAGAGAGATAAACATTGTAATTTTTGTTCTTAATGTAACAACTGTGTTATTGAGACCTGTAATAATAAAAATGTTAAAAATAATATTTAGTATAATTTTTATGATTATTATTATTAACCATGCCTGCTTTGCCGATTAACTGAAGTGTTTACCTTCCCTCTTGTTGATTACAAATTCAAATGACATTTTGATTTTTTTTTTATCTTTACAATTTCTGAAGGATCACGTGACACTGAAGACAGGAGTAATGACTGCTGAAAATTCAGCTTTGACATCACAGTTATGAATTACATTTGAAAATTTAATTGCATTGCAATAATATTACACAATATTATTTTTACTTTATTTTTGCCCAAATAAATGCAGCCTTGTAGGGCATAAGAGACTTTCAAGATCTTTTGAACGATAATGTATATACACACATGTATTACATTAGCCATCAACCACAGAGCTTCCTAGAAATCAGGGTCAGCCATTACTGGTCAACCACAGAAACTTTTCCAGATTACATTTTTTTAACATCAGTTTTTAATACTTTCTTTTTTGGTTTAAAACAAATCAAGAGTGGACTGGTCTGTCAGACCTGTTCACATCGTTTTTGGAACATATCCTTCTCTTTCTGGGTCATCATCTTCCACTGCTTACTGCACAGCACCATTCGCTCCGTACTTGGCACGTCCTTCATGTTTACCATTAGTTCAGCACAGTACAGAGAATAGCCATTTCTGCAGAACGAAGCAATATACAGATGAAATTAATACATATATATATATGTAATGAATTGAACATATCACAAACACTGCATATTTATATATGCATATATAAATATGTATATATATATAAAGGTCTATATATATATATAGACAAGAACCACTGGTGGATTTCAAAACAGTCACCAACATTCTATTTCAGCAGTATTCTAATACAGCAGCATATCTTGTTATACTGAGCAAGAATTTGGTAAGATAAGACTTCATAAGCCATGCAAAAAAAAAACTAAATTAAGAGATTTCCTGAGAAAACCAAATGCTTTTCAGTGGTTTGAAACATACGGTGGTGGTTTGGTTGGCCGACCATCAAACTTGTCCTTGAGCTGCCGTTCAGCCTTGGTCAGAACAGATTTGACGTGTTCGTCAGAGTTTGCATCCGGATGAGCTTCAAGATATGCTCTCATGGTCTCCTGTATGAGGAAGCAATATTTCACAAGTTCACAATGTCCTTTATCCCTCTAATTGACAAAGACTTCATCACTTTAGCTTCAGTGAGAACACAAAGCCGTACCTCATAGTGCTTCTGCAGCTCTAGAGCTTTGCTGATCCATTTCAGCCTCTTTTTGTCTAATAATTGGGACCATTGTCTACGTAATGCTTCCTTCAGCTCCTTCTGGCTTGCCTACAAGCATCGGACATGGAAAAGTGAGAGCAGGTCCGACCATAAACAGTTAAATCCGAAATGCTCTAAAAAAAATATTTTTTTAAATTGAATTATGTAAGTAGGTGACAAGCTGGACTCTGTTCCATAGCTCTAACTCTTTATACTCAAGTTGCTATGACAACACACAGATTCTACTAAGACTATATGACCACTATGTTCTTTCCTTGCCAAACTCTTTTACCTCTGGGTGAATTTTCATGTAGGTCTTCTTCTCATGGTTGTACCATAGCTGTTGAGGGGTCTTGGGCTTCTCTGGGAGGTCTGACTTCTTTCTCTCCTCTATTAAATCTGGGTGGTCCTCCCTAAAAACAATAGAAGCTTCTCACTTAATCACCAATAAAAAAACTGTCATATATGCCTTAGGTATTTTTGTGCAGAGGAACATGGACACTAACTTGAATCGTGCCATGTTCTTCTCAAAAGCCTCTTTCTCTCTCTGGAACTCTTGAATGTACTTGAGCTGACAAAAGTAATAGTGCAAATTTAAAAGCAAAACAGTAAAAAAAAAAGTAATATTTGCAATGACTCAAATCTATGAAAAGAATGAAATTCTACGAGTACCAGCACTTTACATATATAAGGACATGTATTTTCTTTTTTAATGAACATCAAGAATTTAGGTACAAATGTATAAGAGAAAGTATATATCTTAGGTTACCATTTCTGTTACAATATTTACCATTGGTAATCATCCTTTTGCCATTTAGTTTGTCCTGTGGTGGGACAAATGAATACTGAAGTACAAATATTTTCAATTAATGTGAGATTATAAGTATTATTTATATACTATTACAGTATTTGTTCATATTTTAATTATATTTTATTTTCAAATGTTATATTTTAATTTTAGGTTAGGTTTCAATCCATTTGTTATATACTTTTGTCATTTTACTACAATTTTATATTTCTGTAGCTTTGCTTATTTTCTTCACTTTTAGTCATTTTAATATTTCAATTTATTTAGTTGTAAATGCACCAGTTCTCATTTAAGTTATTTGTCTAAAACGAACCTTTTTCTTTTCAGGAAGCTCTTTGTATTTTTTGGACAGAATCTTGGTGAGATCCAAGTTGCTCATCTCGGGGTGGATTTTTGCATACTTGGCTCGCTTCTCCATAAAGAAGCGAAAGTAGGGAGTGAGGGGTTTCTTCGGGAAGTCTGGATGTGTCTAAAACAGAGGTAAATCATACATAAACAATATGAAAACAGCCTTTTAGTTGACATAACACATCAGGCTAAAACATGACATATTAAGAAAAACAAGAGAACATTAAATATTGAGACTTCCTTATATCTCACCTTCAACTTTTTCCCCTTGTATGGGTTCTTCACATATTCAATAGCATCAACAATGAGCTCTGTCATTGTTCTGTATTTACGCACCTAGGGTGGGAAAATCATTACACAACTCCAATGAATGAAGGCAAATAATAATTTTAACGTTCTGTTTATTATTAAGCTGGCAAAGCTCACAGTATTACATGGACAATCTAAAGAAAGCGTCTTTAACATAAACACTTATTACTGTTATTTGGAACACAGGCACATTATTGCTAGCTCGCTGGAATTTGGCTCACCTCTGTGGAAACTTTCTGCCATTTCTGCTTACACATGTCTCCAGTGAAACCCCCAAACCCAACCTTCTCCCAGTCAAAATGAGACTCTGTGGTTTTATACTTCATTGTGTCTCCATCAGGTAGCAGACTGCGTATCCTCTCCAGCAGTGTCAGACAGTCCTCTTTGCTCCATGTATCTGCATCTAACAAAAACAGTGCACACCAACGCATTGAGCATGTTGAACGGCCAGAACCAGAGGGTGTTTTTTTTACATTGAACATAATTGTAGTGTGTCTGTGTGAATATGTCCATCGTGGACAGAATGCGAGCGTACCTGACTCAATTTTGAGCCGTCCTGTCTGGGTGCCAGACACACTGGTGCTGCCATTCATGATGACAGAATTCACCAAGTTCCACCTTGACACTTCACTGGCCAAGTGGCTACATAGAGAAAACAAGACAATTCAAAGTGAGGCTGTAAAAATGGGCTACTGACTGAATATGGCAAAACTTTTCAACATTTATCCATTTAAACTAATATCTATTTTTGTTACTAGCACTTTTTTAATTACTAGTAATTCAACAGTGACATTCATTAGATACTAGTGCTTATTCCTTTGCTAGTAGTCACTATGCCAATGTCTAATAAGAGTTATTTATTATATATTAGTACATATTTATGAGATATTAGTACATATTACTTTAACTGTTACTAATAAAATTTTATATCTTGATAGTAACAATTGCTTTTTGACTTGTCGTGTGTAATAATTAGTCAGGAAATAGTTTAATTAAAAATCGTACTCAAGACACTGATAAATATTTGAATTGTTACAAGTAATTAAAGAATAAGCAGCATTGGAACCAAATTAATAGGTACTAGTAAACTGCAATAGGCATTATCAACAATTGAAATACATGCTAGCTGGAAATCAATAGTTGATATCCTGAGAGAATTAAAAAAATATATATAATATATATATATATATTATACACAGTATGGCTGCAATATAACAAAGAGTGAAAAATTTAAGGGGGTCTGAATACTTTCCGTACCCACTGTATACACTACCGCTCAAAAGTTTGGGATCAGTAAGAGTAAGAAGTCAGTAAGAAGTCTCTTATGCTCCTCAAGGCTGTATTTATTTGATCAAAAATACAGAAAAAAACAGCAATCTTGCAAAATGTTATTACAATATAAAATAATGTTTTCTATTTTAATATCCTTTAAAATATAATTTATTTCTGTGATGCAAAGCTGAATTTCCATCAGCCATTACTCCAGTATAAAGTGTCACATGACCCTTAAGAAATCATTCTAATATGGATATCATATTAGATCTAACATCAAATATCATTCTACTCCACAAAAGCTATGGAGTTTTGTCCTCTGTAGAGGACACTATTTTTTAGCGATTTCTCCGAGACGTTACATGTCACAGTTGTAAATCTAGATGTCCTGTAAAGAGCACATTCAGGTTGTTTCACCATGATCACTCCCTCTGCTTGGTCTTTAAAAATGGCTGGCATTAATTTAGTGATCAAATTCAACACCCTTATGGAAATATGATAATTTTTGTAATGATCATTTAAATCTGAATAATTTTCCAATTGTTTGTCATAAATCAACATCTCAGGAAAATGTTATGGGGGGAGGGAGACACAACAAATGAATAGAGAAAGAAATTATATTTCAATATTCCTATGAATTATTAGATATTATTATGAAAATCTTGCCAATTATTACTCCCATTATTACACTTCTTTTTTCATTACGTTGCCCCAAAAACAAATTAATATGCAAATTATATACAGTGTATAGATACATTGTACATAATGGGCCAACCTGTTTATGGCCATTTTACGCACATGTTGCATAAAGCAAAATGGTATATCAAATCATTCTGTTATATCTTTCATAACATAGTTGAGGATAATTTTTATACAAAGTTTGGTATAAAAAATAAAAATGGATTGGGGATTTTTTTTTAAATCTCTGTTTTTGCCTTTTCATGTCTATTCATGTCTTTTTATTGATTTTAAAAACAGGACTTTTTAAAGTCCTAGTATCCTCTACAGAGGACATAGCATATGAATAAAATATAATTTTTTTTCTTATGCTCTAAACAATGTAATGACATGAAAAAATATTAAATTCAACTTTATTTCTTCTTCTGGTAGTCAGGAGGATATAAAAAAGTTCTAGAGAAATTGAAAAATATATTAGTTACCACTGTATTGCTTAAAGGTGCCATAGAATGCATTGATACAATATTTTAAATTGTTCTCTGATATCTACATAGAAGGTATGTGGCTTAGGTAAGGGCAAAAAATCTCCAGAAAAGGTTTTATATGTCCATTTACAACCCTAGGATTTGTCCCTAGAATGAAATGGTCTGTTTTTACCTTATTTGGAAGGGTCATGAATAATAATGTTGAGCTCTGCTCTGATTGGCTGTTTCACAGTGCGGGTCAATGTTGAGCTTTGCTCTGATTGGCTGTTTCACAGTGCGGCTCATTTCAGTAGCTCACACAGCAGGAAGGAACCACAGAAAATATTTCAATACTGTCTCTTGCAGTTATATCGTTGGGTAATTATACTGTATATAAAATGCGGGCATCAGGGAGCCGCTATTAATATTTTGAATTTTGGGCATTGAAACTGCTTTCAAATGCACTATCGTTTTTTACTTTCACTTTCGAGATTTGCGATCGCATGTGCTCTGTGAACTACAGCGGCAGTACTTACCAC